TGCCACGCACTGGGAAAAATTGAGAGTGGAGCACACCGCCTGTAGGTTAAGTACCTGGTAATCAAGCCACAGGGCTGGGGATCTTCCAGTCACCTGGCCCGTTCGTATTTATTCCCTTCTTTCCTCAGTCCCCTTCCTCCAGGTTTATGACCCCTCAGCAGAAGGCTCCTGGCTGCGTGTTCAGCCTTATCTCTTACCACCATATCTACACAGACACTTGACAGCTCAGCCTCCCGACCTCCCCATGGTTCTTGTGGGTTCCCCCTCCCTTACTTTTACTCATAACCGACACTTCTATTTGAACAGCTTCTTTCAGTCTTCGTATTCCACCTTCACACTCTTTACTCCTTTTAATCCCAACTTCCCCGCATGACAATGAGGGTAGGGATGAGCCTCACTTGATAGGTTGAGGCTCAGAGTTTCCTTAGTCACCCTCGCCCCCCAACCCCAAGGTCACAGAGCTAGCAGGACCAGAATCCAGGTCTTCGGGCTCAAAATCTGATGTGCTCTCTTCTCCTGCAGTCTGGGCCAACCTAGCAGCTTGACTACATGCTATAGATCTTCAATGAACATTTTTTTCCACTGATGAAATTATAGACAGATACCTTTTACCTTGCAGATGGATGAATGATGTTAAATAGAAACACCAAAGTTATCTGCATTACAAATTTTATATTTTATTTTTTGCTCATTTGTTAGCATTTGACAGCAACTGGAAATAAAACCTTGAATCTTTATCTTTCCATCTGCAAATGTTTTGTTAATGTCCGAGACGAGAGCTAAATGTAGACTCCATAGTACAAATGTCATCAATGTTGGTTCTGTATAGTACACCATGAGTTTTTAGGTATACACTATGGGAAAGCGATCACGTATTAAAGAGAGGTTTAGGTGCTTACAGTGCTGAATGTTATGTTCCTTGAAGGTGGAATTTGTTGCAATTACTTTGTATCCATGAGCCTAGGCTGGCCCTGGAGCAGGGTTGGTGCTTAACACATGTTTATTGAAGCAAAGGAGCTATTGTTTCCCTCCTTCTCCATGTGGGGTGTCTGCCAAGTTCATAACAATTGTCCCTTCTGTGGAAACTCAGAATTGGCATTGGCCAGTTCTTCCTTCAACTCCTGCACCCCCCACCCCCACCCCCAGCCATAGTTAACTGAGCAAGGCTGAACATCTGACTGTAGCTGGGCCAGATCCCCAACCCTGAGATGTGGAATTGAGGCACTGAGGGACGGAGGAAGTGTCTGTGGCTAACCCCAGGGCACACGAGCACACGAGCTGCTACAGAGCCATCTTATGATTGAAGACCGGAGGAAGCCAGCCTTCCAAGACAAAAGGCTGAAGCCACTCCTCGGAGAAGCGCAGACAGGACATGGAGAGAGACACCCGAGGGGTTCCGATCCATTCCTAAGTCTTGATTCTCTGAGACGCCCTTGTATTCTCACAATAAATTCCCTTTTGTGTTAAAGTTGCCTCAAGTTGGTTTCAATTATTTAGAACTGAAAATCCTCCACCACTACATCAAACTTTGAAATTTCCCATTTCAATGAAGGAAATTATACTAGGGAGAAAAAAAAATGTGAGAGGGAGAGATCAAACTTACTTCAAAGATTATAAACAAATCATTTGAGAATCTTATAGTATTAAAAATAGATTGGGGGGCATTGGAGGAATAATGCTCAGGGGCTCTGTGAGTTATTAGTTTTGAAGCAATAGGACGTTTTTCCTTCAAGATGAAGTAGGAGGTTGAAGAGAGAGAGAATAAGCACCTAAAAACCATTAGACGGCAGCTAACAGCAGAGCAAAGGACCGAACCATTAAACTAGGGCACGTGAGAAAGCGGAGTCTCTCCTGAGGCTTCCGGAACTCGGGCTCTCTTATCCGGTCCATCGCCAGGTCCGGCGTGTTCTCCCATTCAACAGCCTCCCGAGTCTGCCTCCACCCACCTTCATCTCAGCGGCCGTTGTTTCTCCTGAGAGCTCAGGCAGTGGCCTCTGTCAGCAGCCCACCGCAGCCGCTCTTGCCACCCGTGATGCTGCACACTGGGACTCGAGTGATCTTTTAAAATTCCTCACTACGCAGCCACCCTTCCCAGGCAAAACATTCAGTGGCTTCCATAAAGTACATCCAGTACAGCCCCGTGCACCTGTCGGGCCTTGTCTGGCACCCCATGCCCCTGCCTCTCCGCTCCGGCATGGGCTTCTTTCCTTGTTCTCACCGTGCCAGGCTTCCTCCACCGTGGGTGCACTTCCATCTCCTGGCACATTTTTTCTGCAACTTTTATGCAGCTGTCCTTGACCTCTCGAACTAGATCAGTCACTCCTGGTGCGGTACCTCTTCTTTTACCACTTGTCCCTGTAGCAGTTCTGCTGTCACTCCTCCTCCCCCATTACGTGGTTGTCTGTCTGTCTGTTTTACTAGACTGTAAGCTCCATAAGGGCTGGAGGTCTCTGCTTTTGCCTATTGTTTCAGTCATAGCATCTAATGGGGTGTCTAACAGGGGATCAACAAATATTTGCTCAATGAGTAAATATAGTGGTCCCCCTTATCCACAGGGGAAACACTCCAAGACCCCCGGTGGATGTGTGAAATAGCCGATAGTACCAAACCCTAAATACACTATGTTTTTTCTATACAAACATACCCGGAGTAAAGTCGAATGTATAAATTAGGCACAAAAGACAAAAAAGACAAAAAAAAAAAAAAATTAGGCACAGTAAGAGATGAATAACAATAACTAATTATAAAATAGAGCAAGCATACCAACATACTGAATAAAGTTATATGGAAGTGTTCTCTCTCTCTCTCTCTCTCTCAGAATATCTTGTTGCACTGTACTCACCTAGTTTTGGACTGCACTTGGCCATGGGTAATGGAAAATATGAAGGCAAAGTCGTGGATGCGGGGACTACTGTATGTGGAAAGATAAAAGAAATAAGAGGCAAACAAACTGGAAGAAGCAGCCTCCAACTCACACACTCTTTATCAAAGATCGGGCATGTAATTCACTTGTTTGTAACACAGGTTTCTCTTACATACTCCGCTATTCATGAACAATGCTATTAGTAGTGCTAAAATCCCTTAGCAAGCATACCAACATACTGAATAAAGTTATATGGAAGTGTTCTCTCTCTCTCTCTCTCTCAGAATATCTTGTTGCACTGTACTCACCTAGTTTTGGACTGCACTTGGCCGTGGGTAATGGAAAATACGAAGGCAAAGTCGTGGATGCGAGGACTACTGTATGTGGAAAGGTAAAAGAAATAAGAAGCAAACAAACTGGAAGAAGCAGCCTCCAACTCACACACTCTTTATCAAAGATCGGGCATGTAATTCACTTGTTTGTAACTCACGGTTTCTCTTACATACTCCGCTATTCATGAACAATGCTATTAGTAGTGCTAAAATCCCTTATACAAATAGGGGTATAAAGTTATCAGCAAATAAAATGTACATAATGGTAATAGTACTCCTAGGCCAGCCCACAAAAGCCTACTTAACACATAATGACTCTAAAATAGTAGTTCTAAGTTCTGAAATCTACTAAGCCCCTAGAGAAGGACTCAGGGGACATGGAGTAAAAGAAGACTCCCATCACTAGCAACTCCCGGAGCTTGAACCTCAGAGGCATGTCCTGAGGCCTGCAATTCTGGTAGTGAACATGGGACAGGGCAGAGTGATGGGAATGGAGGGGAGCCTCAGGGACCACTCTAAGAAATGAGTCGTTCGTAAGCCAGGTGATATGCCTGGCTAGGACAGGCCCCTTTTCCTTTCCTTATACCTATGTCCTTTTGAAAGTGTGTGCACTTAAGTAGAAGACGCAATTTACCCTGCTGGAAGAAGACCTTCCTTTCATGTAGGCTGTAGAGGTAGATGTGCTTTGTGCAAGAACTTCTGCAGAAACATTCCATGCCAAGAGAAGGCAGAGGAAAGGAGATTCCAAAGGCAGAAGGATTGTGTATCAATGCACAGAAGCAGCTTTCAGAGGGCAGGGGAGTAAAGGCAGTTTGTGGAGGTGATGACAGACAGTGACTGCTGGAGAGAAGGATGGATGGTCCTTGGGGAATGAAAAGGAAGGAAGGGAGCAAAGAGAAAACACAGGCTACTTGCCTGAGGATGAGAGACAAGAACAATTCTGCTTTCAACAGCCAGATTTTCTTACAAATATTCCCAGCGCACAGCTCAGTAGAAGGGCCTGGTGCTTCAGGTAAACAGTTTTAGAGAATATCAGTTTTGCTTTAGAAAGAATCTCCTGGCTNAGGACTCAGGGGACATGGAGTAAAAGAAGACTCCCATCACTAGCAACTCCCGGAGCTTGAACCTCAGAGGCATGTCCTGAGGCCTGCAATTCTGGTAGTGAACATGGGACAGGGCAGAGTGATGGGAATGGAGGGGAGCCTCAGGGACCACTCTAAGAAATGAGTCGTTCGTAAGCCAGGTGATATGCCTGGCTAGGACAGGCCCCTTTTCCTTTCCTTATACCTATGTCCTTTTGAAAGTGTGTGCACTTAAGTAGAAGACGCAATTTACCCTGCTGGAAGAAGACCTTCCTTTCATGTAGGCTGTAGAGGTAGATGTGCTTTGTGCAAGAACTTCTGCAGAAACATTCCATGCCAAGAGAAGGCAGAGGAAAGGAGATTCCAAAGGCAGAAGGATTGTGTATCAATGCACAGAAGCAGCTTTCAGAGGGCAGGGGAGTAAAGGCAGTTTGTGGAGGTGATGACAGACAGTGACTGCTGGAGAGAAGGATGGATGGTCCTTGGGGAATGAAAAGGAAGGAAGGGAGCAAAGAGAAAACACAGGCTACTTGCCTGAGGATGAGGGACAAGAACAATTCTGCTTTCAACAGCCAGATTTTCTTACAAATATTCCCAGCGCACAGCTCAGTAGAAGGGCCCGGTGCTTCAGGTAAACAGTTTTAGAGAATATCAGTTTTGCTTTAGAAAGAATCTCCTGGCTGCAAAGTTAAGAAAAATCTAAGAACCAGAAAATATCAAATTATATAAACAATTACATTGCCAAGAGCTGCTTTCGTGAAATGAGATAGCACACAGTGCTGAGAAAAAACATTATTCTTAAAATTCCAACAAAGAGAATTGCCTGAAACTAAACCCAGAGTTCCTTCCAAAGAGTTTTAGAAATACCATCCATGCAGTTAAAAGCACAGAAATTTTGATGAGGACACATTTTTCAAGAATTCACCTCCACCCTCCCTTTCACTCGGGAGGTGGCCTCTTGTTTGTGGCTGTTGGATGCAACCAGTGAACCGAACACTTGCAATCAATTTGCTGGTTTGAGAAGAGGTCATTGATTCTCCCAGCATGGATACCCTTGGAACACTTCATTGTTTAACCCTACGTGTGCATGATTCTTGCCTCATACTACTTTGTCAGGCAGAGCGGGTAAGGTATGTGGACATTCTGCTTTACTGAAGTATTCAGAGGAGGTGAAAAATGTTTAACAGGTCTGAATGTTGCCTTGAGTTAAAAATACTATATGTGCTTCTCAGGAAACGTTTGGTCAGGTGAGGGATATTTTTTATAAGCATATGCTTTATTTTGAGGGAGGATGTTGGGAGAGAAATTTCTGTGCACTTTGTACAGTGCTAAGAAGGCAATGGCAGTAATTGATAAAACACCAAATTAAATAAATATATTTCTGGATCTTGTTTAAAATGATCACTGCTTGAGCTGTCACTGATTTGTTGTTTTCATAACTGCAAAGCCTAATCAGTGGGTTCTTTGCATGACATTAGCATTACAGTCTTATGACCTACATGTGTATTCTTGAAGTGGGAAAGGAGGGACAAAGGGGTCTTAGGTGCACAGCCTCCCTGAGTGTTCTTATGCTGTTGTATTATTTTTCACTAAATAATTAAGTTCAGCTGAATAATTAATGTTCAACTTTTGGGGTGGATGAAGATGAACAAAAAGTCAGCACATTGGAGGTCAATGTCTCTTCTGGGTGCTGTTTAAGATCATACAACAGGTCATGAAGTCACATGTTGATGAACGTTTCCCTTCAGATACTGGAAATGTGAGGCTCACCCCACTCCAACCCCCCACCCCCCCACATTTTCTCTACAAATGTTATTATTGGCCCAGGGAAAGTTCGTTCCAGCAGGAAGTCTGCCATTTTGAACCAACTTGAGCAGCCTTGATAGCAAAAGGAATTGATTTACTATTCCCAGTCACCATCCATAATGTGATCATTATGAGCAAGTGAAGATAAATCCATGGCCACAGGGAAGGACTTTAATTTGTGACAAGAAAGTTTCTTTCTGCTTCATGGGGAGAGGCATTTCTGTCCCTTGCTCGCACAGGCTGTGGTGGGAGATAGGCTGTATGGGTATTCATTGACTTGAACTGAGGGGTCTTCATGATACGTAGAGTTATGTTTTAAACATGAAACTCCTTGGAGTCTATTTGGTGTGAGCAATTAGTGGAGAAAAGAATCAAGTTAATATTTTCCTCAAACATCTACATCTTTGGCTTTGATTATTTTTTAACTGACAAGTTATTTCTCTTTCAGGCCCCATAGTTGACATAGAAGACATCATATGAAATAGAGAGGGTAACCAAAACCAAAGAAATGACTCCAGCACCTAGCCAAAGGCATGCCTCAAGGAACAACATGGAGGGGAAGTCTCAACATACAGGACAAGAGACAAGCCACACACGAACAGGTAGCAGTGTGGTAAATACCTAATTCCCAGTTGTGATTATTGGCATCTGAAGCTTGTGACCCCCACAACCCCCACTAAGGATCTTCTGTTGTAATTAAAAGACTGTGCAGCAGGCACGCCAGCCATACCGCTAACATAAATTAATTGTCATATTTCCAAGGTATTACGCACTTTGGTGATTAGCAGCTTGGGGGTCCTTCTGCTGAATTTCTTGAGGAACCCTCCAGAGATTCAGCAGTAACTCTAACATTGAGGCAGATTTCAAGAGGTAAGATTCATCATCTGTAGGTATTAGGGTCACCTCTGGGTTTAACCTCCCACCCAGCCTAGAAGAGATTACCAGGAACTGAAATTCTGAGACACAAGAACAGGGAGGAGCTATTGCCATGAAGGAGGATGAAGAAGATACTTGCCTTCCTTGCTCAAGAGATGAACTACATTTAAAGGGGTGGGGAGAACACTGGCAGAATGACATGCCTCTGTCTTCCCCTTAACCCCATTCAGGTATCATTTATTCTATCAGAAAAAAAAGGAGTTTCATCAGAGAACAGGAAAAAAGGCTTTTGATATTCAAAAGTCAAGACCCTGAGGGCATTTGGCATAGAAACTGAGATGAGTTGGAGCAAGCTTCTGGCCTCTGGTACCCCATGTGGTTTTCCAGGTGTGCTGGTGAGGCAGTGAGGGAGGGCTAGGTCTGGTGGGGAGGCGAGGAGGAGGGAAAGTGAGGCAGAGTGGTAGAGGGGAGCAGAGGGCTCTTAGATGCTGGTGGCCCCTCTCTCCTCTATGAAAGAGACTCTATACCCTGCTGCCCAGAGGGGAAGGTGGTACATGACAGGAATCCCAGATGGCATGGGGTTGCATCACTTCCAAAGTAGAGCCCAAGGAGACTGCAAAACCCAGAACAGAAATGGCTGAGTCATGTTGTATTGTCTGTTACCTGTTGCTTATAACAGAATACCTGAAACTGGGCAATTTATACAGAAATGAAATTTATTTCTTACAGTTCTGGAGGCTGTAAGTCCAAGGTCTAGAGGGCATGTCTGGTGAGGGCCTTCCTCTGATAAAGATTATCATAGCCAGCTAGAAAAGCAGTGCTGGGATTACTAGGTAATGGGTATAACTAGGACAAAAAGGCAAAAAGGAGTTACTGAATTTGATCAATTCTCATGCATCCGCATATTACATTTTTACATCCCATGCATCTGGTGGCCTGGTGCCAGTGCGATGTGGTTGTCATGACAACATACTGGACAACTTCAACCCAACAACACCAAAGCTTTTAGATTGAATGTTAGTTGCTTGGAAGAAAATTCCAGAGAGAATAGTGGAATGTCTTTAAATATATACTGCATTTTCAATGCTCCTAATGACACAGAAACAATATCATATGAAAAATGGTAATGAATAGGCCAATTCTAAGTTGAAAAGTGACTCAGGAGACTTGGGGTACAGATGTGAAGAAGTCTGGGGTGGACTTTAATTGGCAGCATTTTTTCTCTCTCTTAGTGGTAAGTGACAGTGGTGCAACATACAACCAATGGTGTCTTAGGTTCCGTGTAATATGGTATTTGTGCTGGTCTCTACAAAGAATAATGAAAATTCTCAATTCCAGCTACTCCCCTGAGAAAAGAATAGCTAAAACTATATAGGGGGCCCAGAAAAATGGCTGGGCTTCATTAAGAAGAAATTATTGCTGTTTTATTGGAATTTTTTTGAGAACTAAGTATGTGGACAGAAACTAATGAATGTCCCTGGTAGATTTTCAAAAAGTCTTTCTTTTATAGGATTCATTCTGGGGACAGTTAGAAAGACAACAACAAAAGAATCATCATTGAATTAGAATTGAAAGGGGGCGAATGGCAGTATCTCATTCGTTTTTATAGCTGAGTAGTATTCCATTGTGTAGATATACCACATTTTCCGTATCCACTCATCCGATGATGGACATTTGGGTTGATTCCAGCTCTTGGCTATTGTGAAGAGTGCTGCAATGAACATTGGGAAACAGGTATACCTTCAACTTGATGATTTCCATTCCTTTGGATATATTCACAGCACTGGTTATCACATTACATAATTTTAAAACATACTTTCTTAAATTTTACATCATATATGCAAGTATAATAGAGA